CCCCCTAAAGAGCCAAAATAGAAAAAACAAACAACCACAGAAAGCTGGTAGTGGCACAGTTACATCACACACATAGAATTTTAGTTGGGCATGGTGGTGCACATCTGTAATTACAGCAGTCAGAATTCAGGAGGATTATAAGTTCGAGGCCAGCTTGGGATATACAGGGAGACTGTCTTGAAGCAGGGGTGGTGGTGGTGAGATGAGCCCTCAAGATGACTCATCTGTGAAAGGCACATGGCACGCAAGTCACAACCTGAGTTTGATCCCTGGAACACACAGGGTGGAAGGAGAGAGCCTATTCTTCCAAGGCTTCCTCTGACCTCTACACATGCACTATGATATTTGGACCCACACACATTAACAACCAAAATTTATCTTTTGTTTGTTTGTTTTTCGAGACAGGGTTTCTCTGTGTAGCTTTGTGCCTTTCCTGGATCTCGCTCTGTAGACCAGGCTGGCCTCAAACTCACAGAGATCCGCCTGGCTCTGACTCCCGAGTGCTGGAATTAAAGGCATGCGCCACCACCACCCAGCAACAACCAAAATTTAAACAAACTAAAGGGCAATTAAAAAATATTGCAACTGGGAATATAGCTCAGTGGTGGGTGGGACACTTGCCTCACATGCCCTTAATCCCCACTACTGGATTTTTTTTTTTTAAGTTTGCTGGATGTAGTGGTGCACATCTGTAATCCCAGTACTTGGGAGGTAGAGGCTGTTCAAGGTAATCCTTGACTATACAGCAAGTTTGAGGTCAGAGTGGGCTATGTGAAATCTTGCCTCAAAATAGTAACTGTAACGTTTCTCTTTCATTAAGCAATGTGTACTTTTAGAAAGTAAGACCATCGACAGTTTGAGTGTCCCACAGAAGTAGAACACAGAAACTGTAAAACACTTAGAGACCACAGCCAGTCCAGTCAGGACTGATGTCCTGTGGTAGAGCATTAGCCTAGCTCAGTGGTTCTCAACCTTCCTAATGCTGCCACCTTTTAATACAGTTCCTCATGTTGTGTTGACCCCCAAGGACAAAATTATTTTCATTGCTACTTCATAAGTGTAATTTTGCTATTGTTACGAATCATAATGTAAATATCTGTTTTCTGATGGTCCTAGCCAACCCCTTGGAAGGGTCATTCATCCCCCAAAGGAGTCAGGGACCCATAGGTTGAGAAACACTGGCCTAGCCCAACCAAGGTCCTAGGTTCAACAGAAGAGGTGAAAGTTGCCCATGACAAAGCAGAGCACAAGCATGGGCGCACCTTGGCCAGATCTACAGAACTGGTCAAACTGATCTATGGTCCATCCATGCTGTGGATGTGGATGACTAGTTAATAGCTACGTAAAAGGAAAAGTGAATGAAGCAGAATTATAGCACAATTTCACCTCTCTCTCTCTCTCTCTCTCTCTCTCTCTCTCTCTCTCTCTCTCTGTGTGTGTGTGTGTGTGTGTGTGTGTGTGTTTTGTTTTGTTTTGTTTTGTATTTGAGACAAAGGTTTCTCTGTGTAGCCTTGGCTGTCCTGGAACTCACTCTGTAGCCCAGGCTGGCCTTGAACTCAGAGAGATCCACCTGCCTCTGCCTCCCGAGTGCTGGGATTATAGGGGTGCACCACCACCACCTGGCTAATTTCAACTCTTTTGAAAGCAGTTTTTTTTTTTTTAAAGATTTATTTGTTTGTTTATTTATTTATTAGATATATAGTGTTCTGCCTGCATGCCAGGAGAGGGCACCAGATCTCATTACAGATGGTTGTGAGCCACCATGTGGTTGCTGGGAATTGAACTCAGGACCTCTGGAAGAACAGCCGGTGCTCTTAACCACTGAGCCATCTCTCCAGCCCGAAAGCAGTTTTATTATCACATTTATTCAAACGCCTGTGTGTGTTTGGGCACACATATAATAGCATGCTTGCAAAGGTCTGAGGGCAGCTTTCAGGAATTGGTTCTCTTTCCACTTACGGGTTCTGAGGCTTGAACTCAGGTCCTCAGGCTTGGTGGCAAACATCTCTACCTGCCGAGCCTCTTGCTGGTCCTTTGTCTTTAGAGAAAACATTTGAAAGATAACAGCAAAATATCAGCAAGCTATTCTTTCATTTTATTTATTTATTTATTTATTTATTTATTTATTTATTTATTTATTTATTTTTGAACTGAGGACCGAACCCAGGACCTTGCGTTTGCCTAAGTGCTCTACCACTGAGCTAACTCCCCAACCCCAATAGAGCAAGCTATTCTTCACTGGTCAGAAAGCATGGGGGAGGGCCTTAGACATGTCAGGGAAAGAAAAAAGCCAATGCTACCTACAAAGCAGCTACTGGCTTACTGGTCCAGGCTTGAGTCAGCTTGCAAGCACCCTTCCCTAGAAGCCTGGAGGCCGTTTTCTATGCCTTAGAGGATCGACAGCAGGGCCTGGTCATCTCCACATGACCCCCTTACCGGGTGCAGCCTGTTATGTGACAAAACTTTTCCTGGGGAGACATAACACACACATCTACTCACTCCAGATACAGAACCCACAACAGACCAAATTTTACCGATACTACCAAAGTCCAGATTAGTGAACTAATGAGTTTTATTGGGGTTACTTACAGGAATACGGGTGAGGGGTTACTTAGAAGAGCGGAAATGGCTCACACAGCTGCTGCCTCAAAGCCCACTCCCCATGTGGGTGACAGCTCACAAAGCTGGGAACCTGGAGCACACTGCATGGCCTGCAGGCAGAATGAACAGGTTTGGGGAGTGTCCTTTCCAGGTGCCTCAGGTGGTCTAAACCTCTCCCAGGAAGCTTCTTCCAGGCAGCTAGTGAGGTCTGAGTCTTTGCAGCTAAACTTTCTTCCCTCTGAGGGGTACTCAGCTTTTATTGCTTACTGGGGGGGGGGGGGGGGGGGGGGGGGGGGGGGGGGGGGGGCTAGTGAATCTGATTCGTTTCAGGGACTTCCTAAAGCTGTTTTGAGTTGCTCACTTTCCTGCTTAAGGAGCTTCCTGCAAGATGAAATGTTTAATGTTGGACGACACTGTTACACAACACAGTCTGCATATGGATTCTAGCTCCACCCCTAGGGCAAACCCTGCCTGTATTACCTACCTGTTAGAAACAAACTCCTGGTTTGAGACAGCACAGCATACAATGGAGTCCTTATGTCTCCCCAAGAGGTCAGTTTCCAGTCATGGCTTATCCAATACCACCACCAATGGACTCCATAAAACAGGCTGATTCACAGGCCCCAGCCAGCCTTCCTGGCTGTCATAACCTGTAGCCAGCCATTTTAGTCTCCAGTGGCTTCTAGGTGCCACATATGAACATCCCTTTAAGGCAGCAGTCGGGTCTATCTGCCCCAGGACTCCCGCTCCAAGCCTCTTCCCAGACCAATGGCACTTTGCAGGGGACTAGATTCCAGGGACATCTTCAGAGGACCCTGCCTTCTAACCCAAACACACCCCAAGTGACTCTCAGGCTGCTGGAACAAAGCCACTGCTCCTCAGGTCACCGAGCACTGCTTGGCACTGAGAACAAACTATCCGTGCCTGGCCCAGTTCCTAAAGTGTGAGGTCCCTACCCACCTAGACAGCACCAATCTCACTTGTTTATGGCCAGTACCCTGACTGTCCACTCATCTCCCTGCTGCCTAAAGCTGGGTCAAATGAACCAGAGTGGATCATGCACCTGTAGCATACCAATGGTGTGATAAAATTCCTCCCTCCCTCCCCCCCCCAGAGCTGAGGACCGAATCCAGAGCCTTGTGCTTGCTAGGCAAGCACTCTACCACTGAGCTAAATCCCCAACTCATAAAATTCTGTTCTCAAGGTACTGGTACATGCATTTAATCCCAGCACTTGGGAGGCAGAGGCAGGCAGATCTGAGTTCAAGGCCAGCCTAGTCTACAAAGCAAATTCCAGGATAGCCAGGGCTGTTACAGAGAAACCCTGTCTCAAACAAAAATTCTGCTCTCTAGTCTGTCTCTGGTTCCCCAAAGAACACTAATAAACCATGGGATGCCAGTGATCCAAGACCTTTGCCCTCACAGCACACTGGACTCACTGTAAATTTACCACCATGTAGGCTAGGGCTGAGGGGAGGATCCAGCGATGTCTACATCAGGGATGTGTGAGATGCTCAACAGGTTGGAGGCCTTAGAAGGGAGGGTACATAGTGGCTACAGGAACCTCAGGAAGCCTGAGCTCCTATGTGGTCCTACTAGCTGTGAATGGGAGCTAGATGGCTAGGTGCCTTTCATCACCCAGCTCCACCTCAAGCTTCAAGAGTAAAAGGTACCGAGACAATTCAAGACTTCAAGACTGACAGTATTGCTTCCAGCACGGGTTTGACATGGTGCAGCTTTAGCTGGGGAGAGCAACTGCTCTGTTATTATTCCGCTTCATACCAACAAGCCCAAAGCAGGCTTCTACCCAGTTCTTACCTTCGTGTGTCCCTGGCTGCATCTACCAGAACCAATGCAAGCAGTTCTGGGCTACTTCAGGTAGAGGGCGAAGCTCTTCTCCATGCTCCATGTTGACTTAGGAAAACCTCCCAAAGCCCCCAGAATAGACTATTTCTTCAACAGCTGACTTTCCAGCTTCTCCTCAGTGACCTTGCTTCAACCAGTTCTATCTGCTGTACAGTAACTGTTTAGTACGAAGCCATCTATTCAGGGATGCTTTTAAAATGGGGGAAAATTTTCCCCACATGTAAAAACCAAATAGAGGCCAGACAGTGGTGCCACATGCCTTTAAAGCCAGCCCTCAGAAGGTAGAGGCAGGCAGACCTTTTGAATTGAGGCCAGCCTGGTCTATAAAGTTCCAGAACAGACAGGGCTACACAGAAACTCTGTCTGGAAAAGCCAAAAACAAAACAAAAAACAACTGGATAAAATCACACCCCTAAAATAATGTGATCTCTGCTATTTGGCAGATCAAACCTCAAATCCTTAAAAAAAATAACAAAGAAAAGAAAAAAGCCATTCACTACTCCTACAGCAAATACTAGAGATGACTCAGAAAACTTAGGCAAAGCAGAAGCAATATATATTTTCAACAGTTCTTCCAATAAATAACATAAATCCTCTATACTCTGGTTAAACACGTTAAGAGTAGCTCCTACATTTAACTGTTACAATAATCAGTCTTGGGTATTTGCATTCTACATCAGGTTTCACATTGTATTAATTCAAGAGATCTAATCCCAGTTGGGGGAGGGTCTTCACCTGACTGTAGCACAGCATATACATCACATTCCATCTTGAAATCAGTAAAAGCTGGTACACAGTACACCTTCTCTTCACCCTCCCCACATTAAGTGACTCAGCCTTCTTTGGAGAGAAACAAAGTAACCATCTAAGGGTATTCTACCCTTTAAGAACTTTGTAGACTGGACTAGCAGGGCCCACAGAATGGCTTATTTTAAATACATCTTACCACAACATAGTTCTGCAGGGATCACACACACCTAAGAAAAAGGCTCAACCTACAGTTTCACGCCAGACACCCACCCTGCTCTACAGTGGTACTCCTATTTATTCCAGCATTTCCTTTCCTGTCTATAAACAATGTCTGGAAAAACCATCAGATGCTATGCCACAGCCTACCTACCATTAACACTTAAGACTGGGCTCTCTATGTAAAGTTCTGAAACTCGCTACGTAGACTAGGTTGGCCTTGAACTGAGATCCTCCTGCCCCTAGCTCATGAGTGCTGAGACCACCACTTGAAAGCAGATAACATCTTAGAGAACCAACATGAGACATCTCAGAAACCCCTCAAGCCTCCATCAAATGCAGTTCTACCTTCTGAAGGTCTAGGTTACAGACACTGTCAACTACAGTCCATAGACTAAACATACTCAACATCTTCAAACAAGCTCTTCTCTTAGGTCAAACTACCTATCAAACTGCAGGCAGGGCAGATAGATATCCTGGCTGAGTCACAGTATTTACACCTGTAACAGGAGTTAGGTCATGACCGGATCCAAATGGTTGAGAAGGTAGGCACAAGGACATAGCTGAATGGACCTCAGGTAATAAGCAAAGGCATTTGTAACAAGCTTCCTTATGTTGGTTTTAAAATGCTTACAGACAAGGGATGCTTCACTTGTTTAGATTATTTGAAATACAACTTTATTCTGATTCTAAACAAAAAGAATGGGAATGACAGTAACAAACGAGATTTCACCACTAACTGAACAGTGTGATGTGACTGTAGCAGTCTTATTTTTGAAATTCAGGAAGGAAACAACTGTGTTCCAAACAGCTAAATATGCAAGTCCAAAAAAAATGAAGGTATGTTTTAACTGCCACATTCACTCGAAGCCCATTCATCTCCTTCAGCATCCCAATGAAGTACACGATCTGCTTAGCTAAATAAGGTGGCACACACGCTGCACCGCTGACGTCACAGGACAGTTGCCTATAAAACTAGACTTCTGACTCAGGGCTCCAGCTTCACGTTCTCACAGGTCATCATCCTCGTCCGGGAGGGCAGTCGTTTGAGCAACCTGGAGCAAGAAACAGAAAAGAAACACTAAAGATCAAAACCGCCATGACCAAGTCAAACATAAGTGCTAACTCTAATGGGGCTGGAAGATGGCTCATCAGTTGAGAGCACTGCTAGCTCTCGACCAGGGTTTCACTCCAAGCATCTACATGGCTGGGAGGATCCAATGCCAGCAGCTCCTGACCTCTGCAGGCACCAGGCAGACACACATGAAGGCAAGACATCCATACTTGTAAGAAAAACTGAAAAGGACAAATACCTCTAAATCATGCTCATACTGTGCTGCCAAAGCTGGGTCCATGACCACCTCAGGAGGGGCAAGAGCAGGCATGGCAACGAACTCCAAATTAGGGTCGCCAATGAGCTTTCTGGCAAGCCAGAGGAAAGGCTTTTCAAAGTTGTAGTTACTTTTGGCAGAAATATCATAGTACTGTTTAAAACAAAAAGAAATTAATGTTTAAAAAGTCCTGTTAGTAAACACCATTCCAAGACACTTTAAACAAAAGACATTTTGTAATCCACACAAAACACATTGGTCCCACGTGACATGTGTGCCTTACACACAATATTTTCTAATAATGATTCAATAAAATTATGAACATACCTGAAGGTTCTTCTTTCGGTGGAAGACAATAGATTTTGCCTTCACTTTTCTGTCCTTAATATCCACTTTATTGCCACACAATACAATGGGGATGTTTTCACACACACGCACCAGATCTCTATGCCAGTTAGGTACATTCTTGTAAGTGACTCTTGATGTTACATCAAACATTATAATGGCACACTGGGCTGAAAACATTCAAGGCATTGAGATGTCTTAGTCTACTGCAGCATTATCATCTTAGGCCTGCCTCTTACGATCCACCCACTCTATCCCAATACTAAAAAAACCAGACTATAATCCAAGGCACTAATTCCAATTCCAAGGCACTAATTCCAATTCCTCTTCACATGAAAGCTCAAATGTCAAGACCTATTTACTCCATCAACTGCCTTCTCCCCACTCTCCTTCTGGACACCTAATCACCCCAAGTTTGTCAAAGGTAAAATAATATATCAGCATTCTAGAGGACCTCCTTTACAGTGAGGAGGACCTATGCATAAAAACTCTGCAACCAAGAGATATAGTCTTTAAATGGCTAATGAGAACTATGCCTGACCTACAGGGACAGCAAAATACAGTTAAAGAGGCAGGAAAAGTACAGTCCAATTTTCTGGTTTAAAAAGTTTCAATTGAAAAAAAAAAAAAAGTTTTGCTGGGCGGTGGTGGCGCACACCTTTAATCCCAGCACTCGGGAAGCAGAGCAAGGCAGATCTCTGTGAGTTCGAGGTCAGTCTGGTCTACAGAGTGAGATCCAGAACAGGCACCAAAACTACACAGAGAAACCCTGTCTGGAAAAAAAAAAAAAAACAAAAACAAAAACCAAAAAACCGAAAAAGGGAAAAAAAAGTTTCAATTCAGGGATCAACACCTTCGTGTCTTTCCATGCTAAAAGACACCAAGAAATCAAAGAACTTCCAATGATTTTTCAGGCTAGTAAAATCACACAATATTTTTTTTCATTCATTTGTCTTTAACCACCCAACAGGCCCTTTCCCTTAAAATTTCTGTATTACTTTCAAGGAGAAGAGTAAAAGTTAGAACAATTGACACGGCATAGCATGTCCCTCACATGTGAGAGAGGGCCTGGCCCCTGGGGCTGAAGTTGGGTTTTAGTAACTGGCCTCAGGCCCATCTTTTTTTTTTTTTTTTTTTAAGTGATGGGAATATTCACGGATAACCACTGCCCGTATATCTGGATGTAAGTTTTGAAAACCAAAAAGCGACCCTACAGCTTCCCTGCCTCCTGTTGAGCTGTAAAGACACACGCACAGTCTACCCTAAACCATGCCTAGCATGACACAGCATGCGATCGAATGACACCAACGGACGACTCGAATAAAAAAATCATCTCCTATCCACTGACAAACGAGGTCGCCTCCCTGGGAAGGGACGGCGTCTCGCATCTTTCTCCCGTCTTAAGTCACCAGGCAACGGCCGGATCTCGGGCTTCCCCCCCCCCCCCCCAGGCACATGTTCCCAAGGCCGGGCCCACTTCCGCAGGACCTCACCTTGGATGTAGTAGCCATCGCGCAGGCCTCCGAACTTCTCCTGGCCGGCTGTGTCCCACACGTTGAACTTGATGGGCCCTCTGTTGGTATGGAAGACGAGCGGGTGCACCTCCACGCCCAGGGTGGCTGCGGGGACGGGGCGGCGGGGTCAGCCATACCCGACCGGCGACTTCCCCCCCACCTCCCCACCCCCGTCTCCACCCGCAGCAGCCGCGCAGCCCCGCCGCACCTACCGACATACTTCTTCTCGAACTCGCCCGTCAAGTGGCGCTTCACGAACGTCGTCTTCCCGGTGCCGCCGTCGCCCACCAGGACGAGCTACAAGAGGGAAGGCAGCGGCGTGAGCGGCCCGGTTTCCCTCCCGCCATGCTGTCTGTCCTCCTCCCGACCTCCCCTCTGGCTCGCCCGCCCGTCCGCCCGCCCGCCCGCTGGGCCGTCCGGGCCGTCCGCACACGCACCTTGAACTGGACCTGCGGCTCTCCCTGGGCGGCCATCGCGGCGATCCTGCGGGAGAGAGAGAGAGCGGCTGCGGCACGTGCGCCCCACAAAGGCCGCGGCCGGGAAGAGCGCGCGGGAAGGCGGGGACGCGGCGTGAGACGGTGGGGGGGGGGGGAGAAGGGTTGGGAAGGGAAGCTGGCTGAGAAGCCCAGGGGCGCTGCCCGCTCGCCCTCCTCACCGCCGCCGCCCCCGCGCCCACCCGAAGGGAACCCCCGTCCCCCGCCGCCGCCCGCGCCCGCCCCGATCCTCCGGGCCCCGCCGCTACCTTCCAGCAGAGCCTCCGCGCCTGTCCGACTGAAGCTGGAAAGATGGCGGAAGCGCGATTCAAATGCCGGAGACGCAGCGGACGCCGGCGCGCGGAGGGGGCGGGGCCTGGAGGGGGCGGAGCAACGGCGCCGCGCCCAACCACGCGGGCTCACGCGCACGCGCACGTCCTCACCGGGGGGGGGGGAAGCCCTCCCGACTCTGCTGGTCTGTCTGAGCGCGGAAGGCGGGGGGTGGTGGGGGGGGGGGAGGGAGGCGTCGGGTCACGTGGTGCGGGCGAGCGGGAACGCGCACGCACGCAGAGCTGGAGGTCTTCGTGAGCCGGCGCCGAGCGCGGGCTCCCGCGCGCATGCGCTCACTGCGGGCGGCAACCCCCCCCCCCACGTCACGTGGGCGGCGGCGTAGCCCGGGCCTCGTGGGCGGGAAAGGCGGGTGCGGCCCCCCTGCCAGCGGGCACCGCCCGACCTTCGTCCCCCCCCCCCCCCCCACTGCGTCCTGTCTCCACAAACGCGCTGGACCTCGCGGGCGGAGGATCGCTGAGGTCTCGTGGCCGGCGCCCGCAGAATGAATGAAGGAGTGAATGAATGAGGGCGCGCGTGCCCGCGACCCGGCTTGCGTCAGTTTGCTCAGGCGGCTACGCGTGCGAGGGATGGACGCGGCCTGCCTTTACACGCTTGGGGTCCTGCAGGCCCTAGCAGGGGCTCAGACTCTGAGGATCGGGCGGGATGCAGTTGGGGGGCGTCCATGCGTTCTGCACCCCGGGACCCCTCCTCTGTTGCGTGGCCGAGGTGGATTATTCGTGACTCAGAAGATCATCCACCCGGGTTCCCTCCTGAGCACGAAGTGACCAGGGACGGGATCCTCCCAGGCCTGGGAAAACAACAGTTAGATTGGGCCTGCTGGGAGCCAAGTTCCACTCCCCAAAGCACCAGCAAATACAGGTGCTGCTGGGAAAATGGAAAATACATCTCTGATGACCCCAGCTTGTGGCCCTGCTGTTATTTTGTACTATGCAGTTTAAAAGGAGCCAGCACAGGCCTTTGCTTAGGCTTGCAGGTGCAGGGCTAGCCTAGGCAACTTAGGGAGCTCGATTAGCAGACCGCTTGCCTGCCATATGCAAGACTTTGAATTCGCAGTACCAATAAGAAAATAGATGTTACCCATTTTATTATAGGTAGATCCCGGAAGGATAATATTGGGTAAAACACTGAATGGAAGAAGGGAAAGTGGTTGTGTGTGGTACAAAAAAAAAACAACAACAACTACGTAATAGTGTGTATGTAATGGGCTGTCAGTTACATATTTATATAAATACAAAATTACTATATTCTTGGGTACGTGAATCTTAAATTGGCTACATTGCCTGATTCCAGTTCTTGCTTTAGGTTGTTGATAAAAGCAGCAGTGCCTGCTGGGTAGTAAGGTCCCCAGGGACCCTCTCTCTCCCCTGGAGAGCTCACCAGGAAGTTTCCTGTCCTAGCATCCAGCCTCCTGAATGTCATCATTAAGTGGGCTGGGTTGTGTTACCAACTGGCCCAAGCTTAGAATTTAAAGAGCCTCCTCCTCCTCCTCCTCGGACACAGGAAAACAAGAAAATACACCTGAGTGAACTCAGGCGATGCTTTCTCTGCCAGCACCGTCCAGACTCGCGGCTGCTCGGCTGCTCTCTGCGCCCTAGTTTACAGAGACACTTGTCTCTGCCATCCAGCGTGAACTGCAAACCCAGACTTAGGCTGCACTTTAAAACCTGGCAACTGTTTAACAAGTGTGAGAACTGGGGGGTGGGGTGGGTACAGCCCTGGGGAAAAGTTGAGCGGTTGTACAAGGGATTGTAGAATATGATGGTTAGACTGTCTGCAGGATTTAGGGTTGCCTACTGGACAAACCTCTGAGTGTGTCTCTTGTACAGAGAGGTTTTACTGAATATGGACAGTACACTGGACCGAACAAAAAGGAGAGAGTGAGCTGAGCACCAGCGTCCATCCCTCTCTGCTTCCTTGCTGTGGATACAGTGACCAGCTGCCCCACCTCCTTGCCATCATACCGTCTACCTTCCCCAGACAGAATAGATTATCCCGTGGAACTGTGAGCCAAAATAAATTCTTCTTTCCCTAAAGCTGCTTTTTGTCAAGTATTTTTGCCATAGCAATGAGAAAACTAGCTAATTGTATTTTCTTCTGACTCCCCAAATGTTATGTTATAGTTTGAATTTGAGATCTTCCCTGTAGGCTCTGTATGTTGAACACCTCATTCCTCCACCAATGGTACTGTTTTAGACTTGTGACCTAGTGAATGGTGGGGGGTGGGGGTGGCGGTGTCACCCTTAAAGATTCTTTTTTTTTTTTTTTTTTTTTTTGGTTTTTCGAGACAGGGTTTCTCTGTGTAGTGTTGCGCCTTTCCTGGAACTCACTTGGTAGCCCAGGCTGGCCTCGAACTCACAGAGATCCGCCTGGCTCTGTCTCCCGAGTGCTGGGATTAAAGGCGTGCGCCACCACCGCCCGGCCCTAAAGATTCTATCCTAAGCCTGGCGGTGGTGGCGCACGCCTTTAATCCCAGCACTGGGAGACAGAGGCAGGTGGGTCTCTGTGAGTTCAAGGCCAGCCTGGTCTACAGAGCGAGTTCCAGGACAGTCAAGACTGTTGCACAGAGAAACCATGTCTCAAAAACAACAACAACAACAACAACAAAAAAAAAAAAAAAGATTATGTCCTGTAGTATTTGGTCAGCTACAGTGTGAAGCTTCAAGCTCCCACTACCATAGGGTGAGACCCAATGCCATGCCATCCTGCCATGATGGGCTGTATTCCTACGAACCAAGGGACGTCCTTCTTCCACAGGTGATTCTTTCCAGTATTTTTGGTCATAGTGACATAGAAGTTACTAGCATGCTTGCTCCTTCATGTCTGTCCTCCACTTCCTTCCTCACAAGGTGTACATGTATATTGGGGATGGTCAGTGTCTGTGGTCAACGTGATAGAATCTGGAATTAACTAAGAGAGACACACCTCTCATGGGTCCTCAGGGCATTTGCGGGAAGCATTAACTGAGGTGGGAAAACACTCCCCCAGGAGAGGTAGCATCTTCCCTAAGTGTCCCAGATAATAGAGGTCCTCGGAATAAGCACCACTGCCTCCCCCTTCCTCTGGATGTTGAGTGTGTTTCTATCATTTTTGCTGCTGCTGTTATACTCAACTGACATCCAACCCAGCTTCTTCAGCTTCCAGCCTGGAACATTGGGATTCTTAAGGCATTTGGCTTCATGGACTGAGCAACTCCTGGTTTTTCAGGCTCTCCAGCATGTAGGTGGCCATTGTTGAACTGCCCAGCACATGTCGTGGAAACCATTTGAAAACATACACACACATTCTATTGGTTCTGTTCCCCTAGAGAACCCTGTCTAATACGTTGTTTAAGCATCTGTTTGTTGGCAGCTATGTGTAGTTCAGAGGACGACAATATGTTGGAATTGGTTCTCTTCTTCCCTCATGTGGGGCCTGAAGATTGAACTCAGGGAGTCAGGTATGGCAGTTTTGCCCCCACTAAGCCATCTTAAAGGCCCCTAATACAATGCTATGCATACACATGAATAAATACAAATACATACATAAATGAAATTCTTTTTTTTTTAATTTGGTTTTTTCGAGACAGGGTTGCTCTGTGTAGTTTTGGTGCCTGTCCTGGATCTCGCTCTACAGACCAGGCTGGCCTCGAACTCACAGAGATCCACCTGCCTCTGCCTCCCTAGTGCTGGGATTAAAGGCATGTGCTACCACCGTCGCCCAGCCAGGTCTTGATTCTTAAGAATTTCATTTATGAGCCGGGCGGTGGTGGCGCACGCCTTTAATCCCAGCACTCGGGAGGCAGAGCCAGGCGAATCTCTGTGAGTTCGAGGCCAGCCTGGTCTACAGAGTGAGTTCCAGGAGAGGCGCAAAGCTACACAGAGAAACCCTGTCTCGAAAAACCAAAAAAAAAAAAAAAAAAAAAAAAAAAAAAAAAGAATTTCATTTATGGCCGGGCGGTGGTGACTCAAGCCTTTAATCCCAGCACTAGGGAGGCAGAGACAGGTGGATCTCTGTGAGTTCGAGGCCAACCTGGTCTACAGATCGAGTTTCAAGACAGGCTTCAAAGCTACATAGAGAAACCGTGTCTCGGAAACAAAACAAAACAAAAACAAGACCTGTGCTTATGCATGATATCTCCTCTGAAATGTTTGAGAATGTATAGTACACAATGCTCCTCATGTATTTCTTAGTTACAGACATTTGGCCACACAACTTCTGTATACTGACCAACACCATGTTACCTAATCTGCAGAACTTAATCCCATTTATGACGCTAACAGGTGTCTAATCTGGGGCCCATCCCAGAGTTACCTGTTGCTCCGGTTGTCAGGTCCCCTTGAGTCTTTAAATCTAGAGTCTCGACAGTCCCTTGACACTTTTGCAGAGTGTTCATTGAACCAGGCATTTTGCAGGGCATCCCTGCTGTTGCTTGAATCTGGAGGGTCCCCCAAAGGCCATGTGTGAAAGGCCTCATCCCGGCCTGGCGATACTGAGCCGTGGCCTAGATGGGGGCTTTAGGGTGTTCTCACCATACTCTTTATGGGACCCTAGTCTCTTTTGGGCCATGAGCTAATCTGACCATCTCACATTCCTGCCATGATTTGCTGCCCACCCATAGACCAAAGCAATGGACCCGCCAACCAGCCACAGGCTGAATCCTTTAACACTGTGAGTGACCAAGCTTTCTCACCACAGGGTGATATCCCAGGCATATGCTGGATAGCAGCAGAAAGCAGACAGAGTCCCATTCGCATGGTGTCCAATACTTCCTTGTAATTAACTTCTGGGTATGCAGCTTGGATAGCTATACCACAAGAGGGATGGTGTGACCTTCCTCCAAACTTTGAGGGCATAGACAATCTTAAACCCCCCTCCACCCTTCTCCAGCCCTGCAGTCATTTGATTCTCTCTCACTCCAAGGTGGCCTAGCTTTGGCTCCCTCTCCAGCCCTGTTCCTCTTTCCTTCTAACTCTTTGGAGCCTTCACAACCTTTCTGTTTTGTTTTTTTTTTTTTT